CAGGCAGTGTATATTTGACCTGGTAGTGGTGCATTACCCTGAATGTCCGCAGGGTGGCAGCACATCACCTCTAACGGTAGAGTTTTTTTGCTCAGTAACACCTGTCTTTTCACTTGGCATTTTAATACAATGACTGAACAAGGACTGATTTTCACATTATAACAACAAATCTAGATGAGCTGCATCAGTGTGAGCAGGCCAGGCTACAGCCCTTTTAATGGGTTCGTAAAAGGGCAAAGGTGACTAGGTTGAATCGCTCAGTCTGGCCTTGAGTCTTTTTCCATTTCACATTCATCAATAATGATGGACAGTTTGGTAGGATGTGAAGCTAAATTGATTCATTTCTAATTGATCCTATCTGTGTCCTGGCTGTGATATGTATTATGATGCATTTTCCGAAAAGGGTTTGGTTTGATGCTGGCATCATCAACATCAGTGTTCAATGAACTAAACTAAAGTGTACAGTTGACCACTTTGACAATTGTAATTAAAAGAGAATGCAGACTGTGCATAAACTTGTTTGTTTACATATGTTTGCTGTTGCCAAAACAGATGCCGTCGAATATAGTGGTGTAATAATTCCTGCATCTGGCAGGTTCAATGAAGTAAAAAATCAGATGTCTTGAAGCTATTAACAACACCCTTGTGTATTTCTGTAAGGCCTCACATGCGACATTGCAGAATTGGAGAGAGCAATTATCTATTTTTCTCTCACACCCTTTTATATAAGTGGCAAACAAATGTGAGAGAATATTTGTAGGTCACTGTCTTTATTGAATTAATTACACATTTCATGTGTGATTACTTTATTAATAATAGTGACTGACATTTCAAACCCAATATTCTGAAGAAAATCCATTCAAAACAGATCAATTTCATGAAACGTCAAGAACACTTTTTTTTTACTGTATCTAAATGAGAAATAAGGGCAATGACTAAATTAATTGAAATCAAATAGAATAACAATAAAAAATATATAACATATTAAATAGTAAATATATAAATGTGTGTATGTGTGAAATAAATATCAAAAATAAAAAAATATATTTGTTTTACAATTTAAAATATAATAAATAATACAATAAAATATTTACTTTAAAAAATAATTATATAAATAGATTTATGTTTATGCTTTATCTCAGTCATATTTATACACAATGCTAGCTGGATTGCTATGCTGTCTTCATTTAGGCTGATTTTGATTATTTTATTGATTAATTAAATTTTTTTGTATTAAGATAAAAAAATACTGTATTCCAGTAAAAAGAATCTAATTTAAAAACTCATTAAGAATGAGTTATAGATATCACATCCAGATGTATTACAGTATATAATACAGTATACAGTATTACAGATATATTGTATTAATGAGAATAAGGGAACTGTGCTTAACTGTTATGGCAATAACGTCAAAATGCCAAAAACAAAAACCCTGTTGTCTTTATGCAAAATGTACTGTGAGTTTTGTAAAATGTGAAATGTGACCTGACTGAGGTTCACCTAACCATATTATATCAGTGTGACACATCACATTTGTCCCTGTGAACGACTTAGACTCTGAATCCAATTTGTTGTCAAGACTCCAAAGCTTAAAACTGCTGTTTACCATTCTGAAGAATGAGATTAAATTGAGTGCCTTCCTCTGTCTCTGCGGTGTGTCCTTCCCTGTTGCTCATGACAGTCACAAGGTCTTCCACTGGCCGGCCCTCCTGCTCGGCGCTGCTGTAGCATTAATCTGTTTAAATCTGTTTTTCAGAACAAATGTATTCTTTCAATAATAGAGTCACAGTGGTCACAGCTGTGGCATAAACCACTATATACTGCAGTCCCTATGGGACAAAAATTATCTTGAGTTTCCCCCTGCCAAACGTGTGATTACAGCCATGTCTTGTACTGTACCTTCCTTTTTTAATTTTCATCAGCTTTACATGTGAAATTCAAGGGCATCGAGGCCACGCTCAGGGAACTCCAGAGTCTCACAAGAGTGAAAACTTCCCACATACCTCATTAACACCCACATTGGTGAGAGAAATATGATTTGTGTTTTGTTCCCAGCAAAGCAAGTGTTGAAGCCAGCTGAATACAGAAATCTAAATGTGTATCTTTTAAAGCGACATCCCTACCTGTCCTGATAGAAGAGGTTAATTTTCAGAGTACACCTCCTTAAAGGGATAGTTCACCCAAAAATGAAAATTCTGTCATTAATTACTCACCCTCATGTCGCTCCAAACCCGTAAGACCTTCGTTCATCTTCGGAACACAAATGAAGATATTTTTGGTGAAATCCGAGAGCTCTCTGACCCTCCCATAGACAGCAATGCAATTGAAATGCTGCGAAAAACAATCCATGTGACATTAGTGGTTTAACCGCAATTTTACAAAGCTACGAGAATACTTTTTGTGCACAAAGAAAAGAAAAAAATTACTAAATTCAACAATTCTTCTCTTCCAAATCATGTATTCCGCCATTATTCGCCATTACCACAGCGCATGCGTGTTCTACGTCAGCAGCACCACGCACATTCATTGTTTACATGCAGAGGGACTCTCGATAATGGCGGAAGACATGATTTGGAGGAGGAAGAAC